AGAATTTAATAATATTGTGAAAGAAGTAATTTATGTTTGACGAGCCGTTACTTTAAGAGTCGCATACTTGGCTGTATTAAACACAGATCGATAGTCTTTCATGTTCTTCGCTTAAAATACTTCCTATCCTCTGTTTTTCCTCAGTATAAATCTGTTGACATGTCTTAGATAAGTCCTTGGTGATTGTAGAGCCTGTACTAGTATAAGTTAGCTTTTGATGAGCTAATGTTGATAGTAGATAATTCACGATCGGTAGATTCACGATATAAATTCGCCGTATCTCTCCAAATGCCCTTTTGAGAAATGCTCGATTTTTTTTAGTGTGGCTATGCCGCGAATGGTGTGTGGATTTGTAAAAGAATCTAGCCTATTTGTAGAAGCTAGATAGATTCGACATGTTCGATCTTAAGACTTTGCCGGCTTTACGAAGGTCCGGAGAAGCATGAAGCGACCTTTGAATCGTTGCTTAGAAACATGAATGACAGTAAGACAATAGAAGTCAAAAATGAAAAGGTCCCGGATATAATTTGAAGCATACCACAGACGAAAAACGTCGGTAATTTAAGACATGGTCTTCCTTTGGAAGCCCATGTAATTAGACTGACTATCATTATGTAGCACAGACCTTCTAAAGAGTGAAYACAACTTTAGATTATTGCTGTTTATTTTGTCTAATGAGGCCTGCTTTAAAGGGTAAAACCAAAAACATATTACAGTAATCAACCATACATGTCTCTCTTTGCGAGAATACTTTTGCAATTTATTTGAGTCTACAATCTTGGACATATTTTGGACATATTTTGACAATTTTTCGCTTGGGCATTACAAATACCGTATCGTGTGCATGAACTGAAAATATTCCACTCCCCTCCCTCCTGCATCAATGGTGCAAGCAGGGGTTAATGAATGGAATGAAAATGGTTTTATCGACGAATAGTGTGAGAAATGTCGCGCGTGCGTAAAAATTGTCAACATTTATGTCCAAGATTGTAGTTTTGGCATTAAAAACATGAAGATATCGATACACCGACTATAAGGTACTCCACTAATTGGACTGTTATCATTTAGCGAGTTGGATGAGAAATTGACTGTTTTTATTTATTTATAATTAACAGTAATACATCTACTAATTTAAACATTCACCTACTTTCATATTTAGCCATAAACCTATGTTTAGGCCTTGTGACTGGGCCACCTGATTTGAATTTAATCCAAAGCCTGCTTCCGGTTGACCAAATTGAGGGTGGAACTTTTTTGCCACAGAACCGTCCGATAAATGGTGATTTTCGTCCATGACCATCTCGTATCTCAACAAAGTCCTGCTTGCAAGACTTGCTTTTTTTTAGTCTAAAGTCGGTAAAATTCAGTACGATGCGTTCACCTGGGGTAACAGAGATTCGCCATTCACAATGATAGTCGTTATTATATATTCGAGGGTATCCTGGCGATGACAGTGTACCTGTCGGCTCTTGTAATGTCTGTCCACACTCTAACAATAAACGAATATTATGATATTCGTAAGTCCAATGAAAATTCAGGACGAGAAGGGTCTATTAGAACGTACTTGGTCAGAAACATGGATGATTCGAAGAATACTTAGCAGAAAACCCTATTTTAGGAATTAAATCTAGTTGGAATTTATTTGAAACATTTATGAAGTAAATTGAACGATTTTTGAAAAATTACAAAATAAATGAAAACTCGCTAAACGTGCTGTACTGTATTGAGAAAAATAACGCTATCTGAAATGATAAAATATAGCACCAAAAAAGCTTAATCCTTACGAGTACACCTGTACATCTTCTGTGTTTGTCTTATGTCTCCTGGGCTAAGTTTTTCTCGTTGTCCAATGGCTGGAACCACTTGGGTTAGGCGATTCCTCTTTGGCAGGATTGTCACGTGATTTAGTGACGCAGAAAAGGTGTACTTCCCATAATGCATTATTGAACTACAATTAGTGCCAAAGAAAATTAAATTAAGGAGAGGAGATGCAGATCGTTTCCAGTGACATTCTTTTCTATTTCTTTGTTTTTGATTTATGCTTGTTAAATAGGGGGAGTGAAGTAGCA